CCTCCCAGAGGCTCGGAAGTCACTGAGACTCTGCAGACACACAAACACAGACAGGGCTGCTGTGAGAGGGGGTGTTTGTGGATTCACAAATGATAAGTCCTCTTATAGTTAGATCTACATGGTGTGCACATTTGTAAATATAAAAGTATCAACCTGGCTTATTTATTAGCTCATTAGAACAAACCGGTTTCAGAAAGAACATACAGTTTAAACTTACAGAGGTGGTTTTGTTCTAACTGGGAGCTCTCCGAGGTGCTGAACTGACGCAAATAATAGCCCGGTTCTTGTGRCACATTGTGGACTAAATATTCTGAGCGCAACAACGGACGAGGACGTGCTGGAGAAAACCATTAATAGCACATAAGAATAAAAACGTGTGAATGGTGTCGCAATGGACAACAGCAAACTGTGTTCCTGTTGCTAATAAATAAACTTTATTTTTCTTTATTACATTTTTATGTCTCATTTTTTTTGTTTCCACCACTTTTTCTTTGCAACAGTACTTCGCCCTTTGTTTTCAGTTAATTTTCTTATTTTTTTAACCTTCTCACTCCCTCTCTCCCTTCCCCCCACGACTCCCCGTCGCTTTACCCCCAAATAACAACATTTGGCCACGAGTCACCGAGCCCATTCGTTCCCATGAATAGATCCCATCCTCCTCCTCCCCCTCTCGGGCTGCGGGAATGGTTTAGCCCGCTGAGGGGGGAGAAGGACTGGGCGCACAAAGGAAGTGCACATTCTGATCATTTTGAAGGGACATAATTGGGCGCGTGATGTAAACATGGAATAACATAGCATTTAAAAAAAGATCGCGGGGCAGCACCCCCCATCTTTTTGTTTCCTCCCATTCCACATACCCATTAAGGTATTTGAATAATATATGAGGTGTTGGCTACAAACTGCGCGTGTGTCTGTCATACAAACGGGAGGCGGTGAGTGGAGAGGAGGAGAGGAGTTCAGCTTTGTTTCATCCTCGCTTCGGGGTTTTCTGGAGTTGCTCGCTGATGTTGGGTTATTTAAACTGATCAAGACGACGGGTGAAGGTCTTCTGGAGCTTCTGGACCCTAAAATGACAAAAGAAGACCAACATGTTCTGATCTAAGGTGAGTAAAATGATTTTTATTTGCATGAAATGGCAGTTATTTCATGACAAAAGAAGAATAAAAGTGCGTGGTTTGGGCCTTTTCTCTTCACATTTTGCCCACTTTTCTTTAAAACGGCTCCAAAACCAGGTTTTCTTGCCCATACGGCGAACAGTGTGAGTGCCTTTGAACATGTCAGACACATGGAGTGCAGTCTCTGCGCTGCTATTGTTTTCCTCTATTGTTTTCAAACCACTGCCTGGGAGAACATTTGGTGCTCTCACACACCGACCCACAGGTCTCAGATCAGTGACAGCCACATGGATCCTGCATGCTGTGTAGGAATAAATAATGCAAATGACTAAACTATGAATTTGACACAAGGATGCATGGGATGGACAGCATAGGAGCCAAATTATCTATTTATCATCCATACCATGTTCATTGTGTTCTTTGTTTACATCTCATGCCACTTTTCTGAAAATGACCCAACTTAATGCATCACTAAGCAAATAGGCCTGGAAAAAAGTGAACTTATTTGCTTCAACTCTTAATAAATCTGCGTGTGATTAAATATTTTTTCTTTTTTTTTACAACTATTAATATTGTGCAAGATGAAATCCAAAAATGTGGCAAAAATAAGTAAGGAGTGAATAAATGGGAGAGGCGAAACACGTTAAAGAAAGTATGATTATACTTTCATTTGGCTCCTATGAGCTCCAGAGCCCCTTTAAAATGACAGGCCACTTAGTCTCCCTTAAGCATCTATTATTATTGCATCTATTATAAATGATCAAATACTGTTAGTAAGAGGAAATATTAGGGCAGAATTGAAGACTGGAAAGTGGACTGTGAGTATGTTACAAGCACACTTAAAATGAAGAGCTGTGCCGTATTCACCTGCCATATGCTTTTGTTTTGGAATGATGCATTAGCAGGGTGCAGGTGTCTGCCCACAGGCATTCTTACACTGAGAGCTATTAAACGGCTTTAATAAGACTCTCCCTCAGTTGGTGATTAATATCCTGGGCAGAAGTTTGCATTCAAACAGATGACCCTGAGAGAATGAAATACATTAAAGAATCAATACAAAAACATTGAAACATGCACTTGGGTTAGTAGCCAGTTTTTATTGTCATGTTACCTTGAGCTCATAATAAACCAAGGCTGGCCACATCCTTCACCAGAGTTTAGCGTAAAAGCTCTTAATTGTACATTTATTACGAAACTTGAATAAAAAGGAAATATGTAATGATGACTTTTATTTTTTATGAGATAATAATCTTTTAAGCTATTATCCTGTCATATTGCGTCACTCCACTTTAGTTGACAAGTCTTTAAGCACCTTCCACTCCTCATCAGTTGTTGAAGAAAGGCCATTGTTGATGTTTTTTTACTGATGTGTCACACAATGATTGTCCAGGCCTTTTTTTTTTTTTTACAAAAGGGAGTAAGGAGGAGAGGCTGCCGTGACAAAGCAGTCGTCCCCAGAGAGCACCCCATATGTTGGTTCTCTGAGAGTTATATAACCATAACCAGGAGCCAACCAGTTCTCAGACTTGGAACTGTGGCCAAAACGACAGGCTCAGTTGATGATGAGTCTGGCCAGATCTGAATAGAGCAGTGTCCTTATGGCATCCCCCCACCTCTCTCTCTCTCTCTCTCTCTCTCTCTCTCTCTC